ATTATAATTCGGATGGCTATGCCATAAAAATTAGTTAGTGGATGCTCCCCCTCAGAGTGCTGGCTGTGAAACATTTCTCAACTCACCATTGCAAATGGACAGATAGCCTCAGACAGTCTTTCCCATCTGAGGCCATGTGAGAATCTTAGGAACATAAAATGTTTGCTTTTCGTGTGAATTTTTTCATTCTTCTTTATTTTGGGGTTTCATTATGATGATCCATATATTAATACTATGTACATTGATCATTCACCTCCTATCACCTTCTTGTCCCCCTCTCCTGCTGCCGCCACAAATAGTCCCCCTTCTACCTTCATATCTTTCTTTTTTAAATCTAGATTTCACATACGAGAGAAAACATGCAGAATTTGTCTTTCTCGGACTGGCTTACTGTTCTCAAAATCGAGAAATTTAGCACTAATAGCAATACTATTATTTAATCTCGTTATCTCAACTTATTATGTAATCCACACTCCATATTCAGATATTGTCTGTTATTCCAGGAATTTTCTTTATAATTTTTTTACTTGTTCTAAGATTACTTTTACTTATTTGTCATGTCTCCCTAGTTATTTTTTAATTGGAAAATTTTTTCTTCTGTGATCTTGATAATTTTGTAGAAGAGTTTTCAACCTGAATTTGTCTGATATTTCCTCAGTCACATCTGGGTTTGTGTTTTGGCAGAGACACCACAGAAAATATTCTGTGTCCTTCTCAATGCATCATTTCAGAAGGCACAAAATGTCAGTTTGTCCATACTGTGATGTTCACTGTTTGCTTGTTTAAGATGTATAGTTACTGTTTACCTTTATAAGTAATGAATATTTGTAGGGAAATGTTAAAACTGTATAAACTTCTTCCTATTAGTCTTTCACTCGCTGACTTTAACATCCATTTATGATTCTTGCTTGAATCAGTTATTACTATGATAACTGACTGTCATATCTCTACATCTATTATTCATTTTCTATCATAAAGAATTTTTTTTTTTTTTGGTGATACTGGGGTATCAAGATCTCATGCTTGCTAAGCAGGCACTCTGTCTACCACTTGAACTATGTCCCCAGCCCTTTTTTTGATTTAGTTATTTTTCAGGTAGGGCCTTGCTTTTTACCCAATCCAGCCTCAGACCCTGGCCCTCCTACGTGTGGCCTCCTCCTATGTTGCTGGTATCATAGGTGTGAACCACTACATCTAGCTTGTTTGTTGAGATGGGGTCTCACTGACTTTTTGCCTGGACTGGTCTTGAACCTCAGTCCTCCCAACTTCCACCTCCTAAGTAGCTGGGATCACAGGATTAAGCAACCAAGCTCAAGAAGAACATTTTCTTCACTATTTCTTGATTTATGTAAGTGAGGAATAAAATGTTATTCAATAGTGTGATACTCAGGCATCCTTTAATGGTTTATAATACATTGTTATCATTATTTATTTTAATGCTCAAATTATTCTGAGTTTGGTCAATGGAGCCTTCATGCTACCTGCAGTGTCTTCCTGAGATGGCTCCATGATCCTGTGAGCATGCCTTTACTTTCTTGTGCAAATTATCTGCACATCGCACATGATGAGACTAGGCACACAGACACCAACTCATGTCTGGGGTCACACACCCAGTAAGTACAGAGCAGTTCTTCAGACCCCTGGTATCTGTTCCATCATTCCCACTCCTAGCCCTGGGCTCTCCTACTTCTTTAATCAGAGCTGTTGCCTAGTATGACAACAAATTTAGTTGTTATATCTTGCATTTTTCTTTTAATTCCTCTATTTGTTTTTGTTTGTTGGTTGGTTGGTTATCTAAATACCATGATCTTTTCTGTCTTCTCTGCTTTATATTATTCTTCATTTTTTTTCTTGTTATCATTGTATTCATATAAAAGAAACTCTTCATCTGAACCACATTTAATGTCATGAGTCAATTCTGAATAGAATTTTCTATGTTGATTAAAAATAAAAGTTCTTCAAATACAAATCTCTACTTTTATGTAGTGGAAACCAAACAGATGTAAAATGAATAAATGTCATCCAGCTATACTTCTCCAATAAAAAATCCATCTATATTTTATGACTTTTTACGTCAGAGGTTTGGGCTTTAGTTAATCAACAGCCTTGAAAATAGAACAACAAAATAACTGGTCCTGCAGAATTTTTTGAAATAATGCAATCTATCCGAAGTCATTTTGAATACTATCTGCCACATGCCTAAAGACTTTCTCCTTTCCTCCTACATTCAATCAAATCCTTTTTTAGTGCAAATTCTTACCGACTAAAATAGATTTGTGTGACCATGTTTGCCTGTGTCTATAAAGGTATGAAGACAAGTATTCCACTCAGTCAGAAATAATTAATTTTAATAAGTAAACAATGAGAAAACACAAGATATGTTTTTAAATATTTTCCAAATAAAGGAAGTAAATGATAGTCTCACTGCTTGATTTTCAACTTACTATTTGTACCACATAGGTTGTATTAGGAGAATATTGAGACACAAACCTTAATTCCCTTGTTTTGGTTCATATCTTACTGAAACAAGTGACCAAAAACACCATAATTTGTGAGCCTCATATCTAGAAAGCTCCTTAAAGGAAAAATATGACCTGCTCCTGACTTGTAGTTAAGAGGATCCTTAGTGTTGATTCTCAGCCCACACACCTGGTAGGAAGCATACGGTGTGCCAGTCTTGTGGTCAGATGCTGTAATATGTTAGTTTTTAAAAGGAAAGCCTTAATCTCACTCCTTGGAAACTACTGGTCAGGTTTGTTTTCTCTGTTGTTTAGGAAGTAGGTGAGTGTGTTATTCAGAACTTTTAATTCATGACCATTTATGTAATGGAAACTTTTTTTGAAGAGTTACAATTGTGCAAATCATCATCTTGTTGAAAGATTCGAGTACATATGTAAGTATGAATCTGAATTAGGTTGAAAGATGTGGTCTTGCAGCCTGGGGTCCAGATGATCTTTGTTAAAATGTATGGATTGTCCAAAACCACATCTAGATCTGGTCAGACTTGCTCCTCAGAGCAAGCACTTTGCAAGAGGTTTACAGACTTACTGCTGAGCTCCCTGTTCCTTCCACTTCTCCAGAGCACCAGTTGTAGACAGATGCTTAGGCTGCGTTTACATATGGTTACTTGATTAAATTTAATTGTAATTCAATAGCCCTCTTTTGATAATTTGAAGCATTTATTTTGACATTAGGTGGGCATTCTGAATTTCCCTAGGCACACATTCCTCTGAAAAGCTAGCCAGAGGGAGAAAAGAAGACCATCATTTGTTGTGTTTCCTTTGGTTTGATTTTAGTTATTTTAGATTATGGGATAACTAACCTATAACTGAGTTAACTTATTTGCGTAAGTTCTTTTATAAACAAACGTGGTTCTGTAACTTGAAACTCTTGTCTCTTGGGGGATTTGTAGTTCATGGAGCATGGAGTGCTTGGCAGCCTTGGGGCATATGCAGTGAAAGTTGTGGAAAAGGTACCCAGACGAGAATGCGACTTTGCAATAACCCACCACCATCATTTGGTGGATCCTACTGCAATGGAATAGAAACCCAGGTGCAAGTGTGCAATGAAAGACACTGCCCAGGTGAGAGAAACACATATACTTCTACTTAACTTACACCTTCCTCCTGTCTACATAGCATATCAATAAGAAGCTATTCCATTCTCACAGTATCCAAAAGAACTCAACGTAACAATGGTCAGGGTTTTACCTGATTTTTTTTTCAGGTAGTAACCAAGCACATACGCTTTTCTCTTAATCCAGTTGATGGCAAATGGGCCCCTTGGGAAAGTTGGAGTGCCTGTACTGTGTCCTGTGGAGGAGGTGCCAGACAGAGAACAAGGGACTGCTCTGAGCCTGTTCCCCAGTATGGAGGAAGAAGGTGTGAAGGGAGTGATATCCAGAGTGATTTTTGCAATAATGACCCTTGTCCAAGTGAGTGTTGAAATAGTGAGTCAACATCATACTTTCCTAAAGTTTCATTATGACCTCAAATCCTTAAAGTTATAATATTTTGTTACTTGGTTCTTGAATTTTTGGTTTAGGATGTCAAAATGTAGATTTTCTGTGTCCTGACTGTTATACTATTAGTGCATCAAGAACAGAGACCCTGTCTCACTTACACCTTCCAGCTCCTGGGATAGTTTAAATATAACATAAAATAAGTATATGTTAAAGGGAATCACATCATTCCTGGATTATATCCTCAATTTCTAGTGAAACAGCAACTAAACCATCTGCCTTTGAAGTTGCCTATTTGTAGATATGTATGTTTCTGTTTATTTCCTCAGGAGACATACCATACTTTTTAGATGAATGTCATTATTTAACACTGCTCACTTTTAGAGCTCTATTTTTATGTCCAATTATTCCATATTGCAGCCCATGGTAACTGGAGTCCTTGGAGTGGCTGGGGAACGTGCAGCCGCACGTGTAATGGAGGGCAGATGAGGCGATACCGTACCTGCGATAACCCTCGTCCTTCCAATGGAGGAAGAGCTTGTGGGGGGCCAGACACCCAGATCCAGAGGTGCAGCACTGACATGTGTCCTGGTGAGCTTCTTGATCCCTGCCCTTAGAATGAGTAAGTACTTCATTTAGAGCTCACGGTTGCTGCCCCATTTTTGTATCTTCAAGTGAAAATTGGGTAGGCAGGAGCACCCTAGGTGTAGATTTTAAAACCAGGTGTTACTGTTGATCATTCCATTCTTGTTCACAGTGGATGGAAGTTGGGGAAACTGGAAGAGTTGGAGCCAGTGTTCTGCCTCCTGTGGAGGAGGTGAAAAGACTCGGGAAAGGCTGTGTGACAATCCAGTGCCATCTAAAAGTGGTCGTTCCTGTCCAGGAGATGCTACTCAGGTGTCCAGATGCCACATACAAGCATGTCCAGGTAAGCAACTAAATGAACTCTGGTGGAACCATTGCTAGCACATTTAGAGTCTTTCTGCAAATCAGAAAAAGATGCTGCTTTGGGGCCACAATTTACACAGAATGCCAATTCTGGGAGGGAGAATTAGAAAAAAGTATGCTTTTCCCCCTAGTTGATGCAACTCTGGGCTTTACTCCCTGTTTGCTCCTTATAAGCTTCCTTGGCTCAGAGGACAGACTTTGAAAGGTTGTAGAAAGACCGGCACTAATAGCTCCATATTGTGGAAGTGTGAAGACACCATAGGACTTTACACAGCTCTGAGGTTGCTTGAGAAATAAAATGTTTCCGAAAATCCAGAAGTCGCCTTTGGCAGCGTAAGAGAGTGATTTATAGTAAAAGATTTATAGGACGTAGACAAACTAAAAGAGCAAGTTATCCACCCATCAGCATTCCTGCACTAAGTGTCAGCTAGTCAAGGGTTTTGAGGCTTCTTCCTGAGGCATGGTAACATTCTGGTTTCAGGTGAGGCATTAGTTTCTGATGGTGATAGAGCCCAAGGAGCAGCAGGCAGTCCAGATAGGTGGACAGTTTGGGACTTAAGGATCCTATTCAGAACTAAGAGAGATCTGTTGAGTGCTGGCAGCACTCAAGTTCCTCTGAGAGCCTACAGAGCCAGGTTCAAAACAGGAGGCCACAGTTGTCAGTAATGACCAAGTAAGTCACTAATCCTGCTCACCCTTTTCCTCTCCTTAAGAACCAAAGTGGCCTGCTGGGTCCTGACTGGCCCTGCTCACTGTTCTCCTTCATCATGTAGCAGTGTGGTTCTTGTCACTCTCTAAGCTCTCTCTAAGCAATGTGCAACTTTTGGTTGCTCAGATGTAGCAAGTCACTCCTCCTCCCAAAAGGCAACACATGGTGGGAAGTCCTCTTCCCGCCCTCCTGGGCTTAGTTAAGTTTTTCTTTAGATCTTCACAAAGGAAGTGTTTTTACTTCTCAGACTTCCCTCTGGTGTAGATACCATGTGCATTAGTACATTTCAAATTCACATTTATTTGTGAAATTCTGATAAGCATTTGTCTCCCTGTTTAGATGTAAACTCAGAGGGCTTCATTAAGTCAAGCATTCTACTTCTTCCCCCACATCTTTTGCCTTAATACATGGCAGACAAATGTAGTCCAAAATATGATGACTAAATTAACATGAAAAAATGTATTCTTTCACTAATAATCAAGTACTAAAAATTAAAATAGCAAAGCTCAGTGCAATGGCTCAAGCCTGTAATTATAGCTTTTCAGGAGGCTGAGATCAGGAGGATCACAATTCAAGGCCAGCCAAACAAAAATGTTCACAAGACCCCATCTCGACCAATAGCTGGGCTCCAAGATGTAGCCACAGTAGAAACAGTTGCAACTGTCACCCCAGCTACTGTAGAAACAAAAAATAGGAAGACTGTGGTCCAGGCTGATCTGGGCAAAAAGTGAGTCCCTATCTCAAAAATAACCAAAGTGAAAAAGGCTAGATGCATGCCTCACGTGGTGGGGTACCTGTCCAGCAAGCACAAAGCCCTGAGTTCAAACCCCAATACTGGGGAAAAAAAAAAACCCTTAAGATAGTGAAATGCTGTATTTATTGATTTCTAAGGTTAGGTGCAGTCATATTATATAATACCTGATAATAATAATGTCAAAAATATCTGACTGTAACTGTTTTAAAATATATTCAATTAAAAAATACCGATAATTTATGCATTTTGCTATCACCTTCTTCCCAATGTGTTTCTCCCACTTGTCAAAGCCTGCAATTCATTTAAAAAAATTTCATTAGCTACCTCTTCAATGCTAGTAACCAATAACTTTCTCAAATAATGTGGAGATACTTAGAAAAAATTTATAATTGTTTTTCAACCAGATTGTCTTGCTGTGTATGAGTTTTAGAGTACTGTCAAAAGTACAATACCCTTCTCCGTCTTCCTTAACTTAAGCACTTTTCCACACGTATGTAATAGAAGGAACTTGATAAACCTCAATCTAAGGCTCAAGAGTAAACAATGTCCCTTAGATGTCCACATTTATGTTGGCAGTGACCTGTAACAGGGTTATGGAATGTTTCACTGGTAAGAGCACTCCTTTCCCTCTGTGTTCTCATGAAGGAAGCCATAGGAAAAAGAACATAGGATTCCTTATGAACTGTAGTCACCATGTTGTACAGTAGATACCTTGAAATTTTCTATCTTTTGGCCAACATCGCTGCAGTCCTCCTCCATCACCTCCAGCCACTGGTAACCACCATCCTGTTCTCTACTTCTAGGAATAGAACTTTTTTACGCTTCCCACAATTGTAGTCTATTTTTGAATGCTTATGAAATAGACTTTAAGTGTTCTCACTACAAAAAATGTTAAGTATGTGCTGTAATAAATATGATAATTAGCTGAGGTTAGTCTTTTTACAACACATACAACATATTTCAAAACAACCCATTGTACATGATAAATTACACAATTTTATTTACTTTTTGTTATCAGTTTGTATGTGCTTATGCTTGTTTTTATGTATATGTTTATCTTTTGGATCTATCTTCCATATATGAGAGAAAACACGTGGCCTCTCTCTCTCTGAGCCTGGCTTACTTCACTTCACATGATGTCCTCCAATTGCGTCCATTTACCTTCAAACCACACGTCATTCCTTAGGGCTGAGTAAAACTCCACTGTGTATATATACCACAGTTTCTTGATTCAGTCATCAGTTGTAGGGCACCAGGCTTGTTTCCAAAGCTTGGCTGTTGTGAACAGTGCTGTGATAAACATCAGGTTCCAGGTCTCTACTGTATCCTGACTTATGCTCCTTTGGGTAGATGCCCAGGAGCAGGATCACTGGATCATATGGCAGTTCTGTCTTTAGCTTTTTCGGGACTCCCCATACCGCCTTCCATAGTAGCTCTACTAATTTGCATTCCCACTGACAGGGTTTTCCCTGCATTTGTTGTTGTTGTTGCCCTTGAATATGACCATTCTAACTGGGGTGAGATGAAATCTAAGTGTTGTTTGGATTTGCATCTCTTTTATAACCAGGGAAGTCTAACACTTCTTTATGTATTTACTGGCCAATTGTACCTCTTCCTTTGAGAATTCCCTGTTTAGTTCATGTGCCCATTTCCTCATTGGGATGTTGATTCTGGATATCCCTGAAGATTCTGGATATTAGTCCCTTATCAGATGAGTAGCTGGCAAAGATATTCTCCATTCTGTGGGCTGTCTCTTGAGTCTGGTGACTGTTTCCTTTGCTGTGCAAAAGCGCTTTAGTTTGATGCAGACCTGTTTTTCATTCTTTCTCTTAGATGCTGAACCTTTTGAGTTCTACTTAGGAAGTTGTCCCGTATACCTATATGTTCCAGTGTATTTCCTATAACTTCCTGGAATTGTTTCAAAGTTTCAGGACTTATATTGAGGTCTTTGATCCACTTTGAGTTGATTTTGGTACAGAGTGAAGGACAGGGATCTAGTTTCAGGCTCCTACATATGAATATCCAGTTTTCCCTGCAACATTCATTGAAAAGGCTGTCTTTCATTCATTGTGTGTTTTGGGCTCCTTTATCAAAGATCAGTTGGCTATAGATGTGTGGATTTATGTCTAGGTCTTCTATTCTAATCCATTGGCCTTCCTGTTTGTTTTGTGCCAATACCATTCTGTTTTATTGGTATGTCTCTGTAGTGTAGTTTGAAGTCAGGTGTTGTGATACCTCCAGCATTGGACTAATTGCTCAAAATTGCTTTGGCTATTGGAGGTCATATGTACATCAAGGTTGATTTTATATTTCTGTGAAAAGTATTGGAATTTTGGTAGGGATTGTGTTGAACATCTAGACTGCTTTTGGTAGTATGGCCATTTTCACAATATTGATTCTAACAATCCATGAGCATGGGAGATCTTTCCATTTTCTGATGTCTTCTTCAGTTTTTTTCCTTCATTGGTTTATAGTTTTCATTGAAAAAGTCTTTGGTTTCCTTCACTAAATTTATTCCAAGGTGACTTACTGTTTTTGAGGCTTTAGTAAAGATTTCTTTCTCAGTCTGTTCATTGTTGGTATATAGGAAGGCTACCAATTTCTGTATGTTAATTTTGTATCCTGCTACTTTGATTTCTAATAATTTTTGGTAGCATTTTTAGGGGCTTTTAGGTATACCATCATGTCATCTGCAGATAGGGATAGTTTTACTTCTTCCTTCTCTATTTGAATCACTTTTGTTTCTTGCTCTTATCTTATTGCTTTGGCTAGGAATCTCAAAACTATATTGAATAGGAGTGGGGAAAGCCAGCCGGCATCCATGTCTTGTTCCTGACGTTGGCAGGAATAGTTTCATTTGTTCTCCATTTAGTATAATGTTGACTGAAGGTTTATCATATATAGCCTTTATTATGTTGAGGAATATTCCTTCTATTCCTAGTTTCTTCAGAGCTTTTATCATGAAGCAGTGTTGAATTTTGTCAAAGGCTTTTTCTGCATGTATTGAGAAGATTATGTGGTTTTTGTCCTTCTTTTATTTCATTATTTTTTAATTTTAATAAAAAATATAATTGTTTTACAAGGGAATAATTGTGATATTTACATATGTGCTTACAATGTATCTTAGTTAGATTTACCCCCTCCATGTTTTTCTCTTCTGCCCCCACTTAGAACAATTTCAACAGGTTTCATTCTACTTTCATATGTGATTACAAAATACATCCACTATATTCACTCTCATTTACCCTTTCCTTATGCCCACCATCTCCCACAGGTACGCATTCCCAAAAGAGACCTATTTTACCCTCCTCTCCTTCATTTTTTTTAGTGTAAAATATGTACAACTTTTATTTAAATAAATAAATATGTCCCACACAAAGAGAAAAACAAAAGCACATGTTTTGATGCTTAGCAGATAATGTGTTCAGATACTCGCTTTCTAACTTTGTAATCATGAAAAAGTTACTTGATCTCTTCAACTTCATTTTCCTACTCTTCAAACTGTGGCTGTTTAAAGCTACTTCATAGGATTGTGGATAGGATTAAAAGAGTTAACCCATCTTGAGTGTTTACTGTTGCATATGACCTGCTCAATAAACTCTCATCACTATCATTTAATCACCATCAACAAACACATACTTTATTTGGTCATGGTACTAGACACTGATTAGATTTTTTTGGCTTATGAAATAACGCTATGATGTACATAGATGGGAAAGATCCTAGATTTATGGGGGATGATGGGTGTTTCATGAAAGCACAGTGTTTTAAGAGCTTATTCATTTCACTTCTAAATTCAGGTGTCATAGGACTTTTTTATGTTTGAGAAAAGATTTGTAGCCTTTCTGACTATTGACCTTCTCTTCCCTCATGTAATGTTGATAGAATTGCTTCTTTCGCCAGAAATGTTTTCTTTCCCCCATAGGTGGGCCCCAGCGAGCCAGAGGAAGTGTTATTGGAAATATTAATGATGTTGAATTTGGAATTGCTTTCCTTAATGCCACAATAACAGATAGCCCTAACTCTGACACTAGAGCAATACACGCCAGAATTACCAATGTGCCTCGCAGTCTGGGTAAGTCTCTTTGGTTATAAAAGCTTATAAAATTCTTTTTAAAAACATATATTCTTATCTTACTACTTTCACTTGAAGATTCTACAGGGTACTCCTACTACTAAGTCATCAGTATGACAAACACTCTTGAGCCCTCTCCCAGCCATAAACTCCTACAGACACATGAGGCGCTGGTGTTGATTTTGCGTTAAGCCACATTATTTCATGTTCATCATTGTGAATGATGTAGCATGAAAGCAGTAATAAATGGCTATAAATATTCTGCTGTGTCTCCTTATTTATGTTTTTTCTTTAGGTCCAGCAATGAGAAAGATCATTTCTATTCTAAATCCCATTTATTGGACAACAGCAAAAGAAACAGGAGAAGCAGTCAATGGCTTTACCCTCACCAATGCAGTCTTCAAAAGAGAGACACAAGTGGAATTTGCAACTGGTTAGTGTCAGCTGAACTGAATATTCCATTACTAAAAAAAGAAATGATTGCCATAAAGGGTGGTGGTTAAGAAAAAAATCTGTTACATGTTCCCATAGAGAATCCACAAAGTTTTTGATGCAATCTTATCAACAATAATATAACAGCAATTTTATATTTTTCTAGAAATGAATGCTGACATGAGGTCTATAAGAAGCCATGTGTTCTCAAGCAGTGTAGTAACTTTTATGCCCCCCCACAAAATTTCTCTCCACTTCTCTATATCTTTTCTATTTATGTCCTGAAAGAGGATTTAAAGAGTGAACAAAGAGAGAAAATGAGTCATTACTATTAATGAAAGATGATTGTCTTTAACTAGAGATTCAAGTAAGATACTTTGTAATGACTCTTCAGCAAAAAAAAAAAAAAAAGAAAGAAAGAAAGAAAGAAAGCTGAGCAAATATAAGAAATATAAGGACTTTTTGCTTTATCCCTGTATTATATCTTCATGGCCCTTTCCTCCGTCACAGAGGTCTTTATAGAGTTCCACTTCAAGCTCTTCAAAGTTGGTCAGCCTTGGTGGCAATTTCCTTTAAGGGCACTTAAGAGTGAGGGAGAGTTTGTCTTTAATTAGTATTTAATTGGCCCAGAAGACAAGTGGGCCTTTTCATGGCCATCTGCTTTTTAAGATGCCCTTTTGGTACTTTTTGAAGCACAAATAAGAACAAAGGCCTCTGCCCAGACTTGTGGTCTTTGCCAGTCTGTCTGGTGAAACTGTTGGTCCCTTCTCAGAGGCAGTCCATTTTTGTAGAAGTGCTTTGTTATTGCTTGTGAGTTGAAAGTATGGGATCTTTTGCATAATCAAATTAAAAGAAACTTGAGGGAAAAAGTTTTAGAGAAAAGAAATTTTAGGAAAAACTTAATTAAATCAGCCTGATTCTTTAATTGTGGGGCTAAATGCTAATTTAATTCTCTCATCTATATTTATTCAAGCTTGAATAAAAATAGCACAGCTGAAACTGTTATGCTAGCTAAATCTCCTTGGTGTTTACACAAATCATGTGTTTTGATCTGTGGAAATGAATGCAATGTAATTTCCAGGAGAAATCTTGCGTATGACTCACATTGCCCGGGGCTTGGACTCCCATGGTGCTTTGCTGCTCGATGTCGTTGTGAGTGGCTATGTCCTGCAGCTTCAGTCACCTGCTGACGTCAGCGTGAAGGTAACATGCCACAATAACTTTTCTTCACTGTTCATTAGAGTAAGGACAAGGGTTCAGGTCAACAGCCCATAGAAAGCACAGAGAGTTCACAGACTTTCCCCTGTTCACTTTGGAGAGTAATGGTCTAACCCACTGAGGTTATAAGTAATTACCTGGTCTTTGTTTAAAAATCTTCAGGGATTAAGTCTTTTAAACCCCCCTGAGTGGTTCTTCATGACCTACAACAATTTTGAGTATCTTCTTCAATTATAATTTATGACAGCAAATTATAAAACTAAACTAGTTACAATTAGAAGGTTCAAACTTGCAGTTATTCCCTGACTACTGTGTATGTACAATTAAATTTTTATTTACAACGATTTTTAGCCTCTAAGATTCTTTTTTAATCATGCTGTATCTCATCGTTTCACTTAAGAAAAAGGTAGTATGAGCCTTGTTAATCTTCAAATCTTTCTCTTTAGGATTACACAGAGGACTACATTCAGACAGGTCCTGGGCAGCTCTATGCCTACTCAACCCGGCTCTTCACCATCGATGGCATCAGTGTCCCATACACGTGGAACCACACTGTTTTCTACGATCAGGCACGGGGAAGAATGCCTTTCTTGGTAGAAACACTTCACGCGTCCTCTGTGGAATCGGACTATAACCAGTTAGAAGAGACACTGGATTTCAAAATCCATGCTTCAATTTCCAAAGGTAATTTGATAAAGGAAAGTCCATATCTTTGTACTACCATGTAGTCCTTTCTAAAAGGGTCAAAATAATTTTACTGATGCTCTTCCAAATAAGGTCATGAAAGGCCTAGACATAGCACCATGATATTGGGTGTGCATGTGCTGACTTGTCTGTGTGTGTTGTAGCTAGAGCCCTGTGGTAAAGCCAGCCCAGGTGGTGCATTTAGTTTAGTAGTGTGCTTCTTCATGCTGTGCAGTTGCTATTCCTTTTTATATACTGGGGCAGTATTAAAAATACATAATATGCTGGAATAATTTTCCTTTGAGTGATAAACTCAATTTGTTATTCTTCTGAATCTTATATTTGTCAAGGGGCTTTTTTGGATTCCTAAAACATAATGTAAAGATGTGTTTTAAACTAAAACAGTCAAAAGGAAAGTTTGCATATTTTAAAAACAACTTTTAAAAAATATTTTTTCATTCTGTTTATTGAGCACATTGATATTGTCATTCAGGAAGGCCAGACAGACTAGCTTAGATCAACCAGATACACACACAGAAAACAAGAAAATAAAATAATTCACATTGAGACACCATCTGGCCATAAAATTTATCACACAAACCAGGGTGCGATTGAGTGTGAAAAGGGACAATACTATAATAAAACTTTCCCAGACACAAAATTAGAACATCTGGTAACCTAGGCAAAAGCAGCTTTTAAAAACTGCAGCAATAATTGTAATCCTGTCATTTCTTGTTTGTGGAAATTATAATCTTTGAACTGTTTTTCATTTTTCCAAGCACAGTTCTACAGCTAAGCAGTGCCCCTCTGGTGGTTGGTTGCTTGATGTCTATTTGCTGATTTCCTTTCCAGTCATAGGAGGCGTCAGAGCAGCTGGTGTCCCATGTTCCGTGCGGTTGCGTGCTGGGAGCCACTTTTTGTGTTATCATGTTGTAGCACTGCATGTGCGACTGTAGCTTTGAACTTTCAACTTCACTTAAAAGGATTCACCTTAACCTTGTGTGTGTTTTGCTGTGGGCTGGCTCTTCTAAAATCCTTCCAAGTGTATTCTAAATAGCATGTTTAGCCAAAAAGAAAACAAACTAAAACTTTGTTTTTTCTCTTTATTCTTGCTCTCATCAGTTATTCATCTGAACATTTTCTTCTTCAACATCTACCATAACACATCATCAAATTTGAGATCATGGTAATCTGGCACATGGGTCCACATCTTTTAAGAGAACCATAAATTAGTGAAGCCTTATACCTACTGAAACCCATAGCTCCACACCTCCTCAACTCCTCCATCACCACCACCTCCTCATTCTTTTTTTTTTTTTTTTTTATTTTCTTCTTTTATTATTTCAATGTGCAATACAAGGCCTTGGCTTTAGTTTCTCCCCCTGACCCCACCCCCTCCTTACAACCCACTCCACCCCCCCCCCCCCCCTCAAGACCCAGCAGACACTTATTTTGCCCTTATCTCTAATTTTGTTGTAGAAGAGAGTAAAGCAATAATAGGAAGGAACAAGGGGTTGCGGTTGAGATAAGAATAGCTATCAGGGCATCTGGACTCACATTGATTTCCTGTGGTGGGTGTTACCTTCTAGTGTTAATCTTTTTTAATCTAACTTTTTCTTCTAGTGTCCTGTCTCCTTTCCTATTGGCTTCAGTTGCTTAAGGTATCGCCTTAGTTTCCTCTGCATTAGAGGGATACAAATGCTTAGCGAGTTTTTTAAGGTTGTCTTACCCTATCCTCCACCCCGTCCCTTGGTGCTCCAGCTTATCATGCACCACCTCCTCCATTTAATAAGTCATGCATATTCAGGCTCGACACACGAGAAAAGATACTCCTGTCCATGAAGACCTATACTTCGCTTCCCGCAACTGTGCCTAAGTTTCTAAATCTAGCCTGTTTCTAGTATTGAAGTACTCCACTATCATTTACAGAAAAAGATAGTTAAACTTTTTACTGGGCAGAAGACAATGGTATAAATAAAATATACCATCTTGCTGGGCACCAGTGGCTCATACCTGTAGTCCTAGCTACTCAGGAGGCAGAGATCAGGAGGATCGCAGTCCAAGCAGCCCGGGCAAAAACAGTTCCACCAAGCCCCTGTCTCAAAAGAAACCTTCACAAAAATAGGGCTGGTGAAGCCCTGAGTTCAAGCCCTAGAACTTGCAAATAAATAAATAAGTAATAAGTATAAATAAATATATCATACAAACAATCTGGGACTATGATTTTTTGAAAAGTCATACCTACCTTCCCAGTCATGTAATAACTAAGTGGTGGACTTTGTCAAGGTCTGTGGCAATGTAAGGTGTTGTTGGATGAATTGGGTTCACAAAATTAAGAAACATTTTAAAGACCATGCATCCTTGCACACTATGATTCTATGAATTATCATCTAAAATTCACATTCTATGAATTCAGCATTGCGTACCTGCAAGCTTGTTTTTTCAGTGACACCAGAGGGCAAGCTTATGTTCTTGGTAGCTTCATCCTCAAATTTTCATTCTAGAACCTGTTCTAAGAAAAATCACAAAATTAGCCCAAGAAGAATGTCAGGAAGGTTCATCTATTTAAAATAAAAAAATTAATAAATGTCCTAAAAGTAGGAAGTCAGTATGTAAATTGTGGCACAATTATATGAAAATCTTTAAATAATCATGGAAATGTTTTTATGAAGTACTGAACTCATATTTTAGCAAATATTTGTTGAGTGCCTACTAGACCACTAGATGCTGTTCTAAGTATTTGTAATATAACTACCAACAAGTGAAAAGGAAAATGTTTTGACCTAGTGATAGAAAAGCAGTGTACAGATGATTGCCTGCATCTAATGATTACAAAGAAATTTTTATACTGGTCAAAAATTCATTCCCATGTCTTTCCTCACCAATTCTGATAGGAGTGAGACCAGGATCTGCATTGTAATAAGTGCTCAATTTTTTTTAGTTAGTAAAGCTTGGCAATTAATAATATTTTCACACTTGATTTTTAAGTATATATTCATAAAAATGACAAAAACAAACAAATATACTCTGTTCCAACTGTCAAGATTAGAGGGAATTTTATTTTATGCTTCTCAAATTGTCTATTTTCATTCATTATTAATGGATAAATATTTCGTATTTCACCTGTCTTGAAATGAAAATCATAATGACTGTAACTCAAAATAACATAATTTATATTATAAAGAAGGAAAATAATTAATAACAAATTTTATATATTGTAATATGACAAGCTTTGGACAAAGAGAAGCAGTCATATACCTGAATCTGTAGACTCCCACTGGTGATTTTTTGGGGGAGAGCCTAGGTACATTAAAGAGCTCTTAGTAATATTCTGAATAAAACAAAAGGCAATCAGATAGCAGTTTATATGACAGTTGCACTCCTGGGAAACTCATTGTATATTTAAATCATATGAAAATAATTTAACGTACAGTACTCAGACAGACCTAAAGCTTAGATAATTTCAGCTTCCTTACTTCCATGACGTCTTGCAGGAAAAGGGGCACATCTTCCAAGACTGTTCTACACATTGCAGTATTGTAAAACCTGCACCAGGTTCCCCACTCATTAAATGTTAATAGTCCCCTTTATTATCACCATGACAACCAAAGCATCTCCCAAAACAACTTCCCAAATGCCGCCTCATGGAAAAACCTGTCTCCCAATTAGAAACAAAAAGCTATAGCTGCTATGAAATATTAAGCTCTTGTGTTCTGTGACGTTTTTCCTCCAGTTACATCCCCAGCCCGGCACCCCACACAGCATACTGGTTAGATTAAGGATTGCAGGAATAAATAAATAAGCAGAACGTAATTATAATCACCAACTGATTCAATTATTGATAGTCAAACAGACTTTCACCTGAATCTTGTTCCTGTACATCTTAGCTTACTTAACTTCCTTAACCTCAGTCTCAGATTCCTCACCTGAAAACCAGGTGACAGTTGGGCAGTGATGAGGTTTAAATGAAATAAAGCAAACAGTAAACTTCAATAGCCACTCAGCACGTGCCCTTGACAATTCTTTTCTGTTTGTCCTAGTCCCACTCCTTTGCACGTGCTCTCAGGAAAAGAGATTCCTTACCAAACTGTTCTTGCTAGTATAGTTTTTTTAGCATCTATTTTAAATCTGATCTCTCACAATTTGTTGCTCCTTGTTTTGAGTACATAGCACAGGAAAACAGTCACACACAGTACTTCAACTCAATGCTCAACCTTGCCAATGGAGAAGATCCATAAAAGGAGGGGGCTTCTTTGTGGAGTTTCTGTTTTTCACTAGCACACATTATTTTAGTTGCTTGCAAATAGAATTCCTCCTCCTTGAATACAACAGAGTGGTAAATGGCTGGAACATCAGCTCTTTGTCTGTAACTCTGCCTGGCATACAGTTATCTTGGGCAATTTTTAGTTATCATAAAATAATTTTATTTGATTTTCTTTGGATTGAGCTTGCTAACTATCACTGGACTCATCAGTTCTTGGTTGAGAGACAAGCAGTTTTCTATTCTTGCTTGTTTCCACCTATTGCATTTTTGAATCATAGTTTTCATTTTTGATGTGTCTTCCCAGAGAAGGTGGTAGTGAAAGGAAATGAGGTGCTGATTTCCTAACACGTCAGCTAACTTTGCTCTCCTTTCTGTGGTAGGAGATCGTAGTAATCAGTGCCCCTCTGGGTTTGCTTTAGATGTCGTTGGACCCTTCTGTGCTGGTAAGTATAAGAATAAAGTGCTTTTCATTCTATAAAAAGGTCAGTGATGATTATCATTTAATGGACCTCTATTACCATTTTGCTACATGTTTAATTATAGGACAACAATCCTATAAATGTCCAAGTTGACAGCCGAGGAAATTGAGATAAAATGGGTAAGATCACTTAACATTAAGTGTCAGGACTAGATTTGAATTAAAGTGAGGTTGCAAAGCCAGTGCTCTTTCAGTTTGGCCACAGTCACCTGTGTCAGGGATAATACTCTAAGGACAGAGGTGAGGTGAGCAAGAGAAACACTGAATTTCACTTGGCAGCTGAACTGCCATGGGCATGAGGTAGCAATGATCCAATGCTAAGTCACCTAGCCTTGGAACTGCTCAGTCATAGGATAGGACAGGACTGTGGACCTCTGACTAAGGACTAAACCAACTTTGTCCCAGCAAGTGCTAGTACAAGAGAATCACAGGTGAGTGAACAGATAACTAAATGGCTAAAGGAGCTCAACTTTGTATACACAGTGCTTTTCATTCACTGACAGATAGTGTGATGTTGTCAAATGGTAACAAGGTGGTCTTTAGACTGCTTTTGAATTCCAGCTCTATCAATAATGACTTCAGTCACCTTGGGCAATTTATTAACCTCATTGCTCTTGAGTTTTGTCCTGCAAAATGAAGAGTAATAAAAATATCTATTTCCTAGGAATGCTTTGAAGAATGAGTTAAAATTGGTATCTTAAAGACCTCAAGCTAATTTCTGTTTAGCAGTTCCATTTTGTGGGACTTAGCATGTCTTCTGTTATATTCGATCAAACTCATTGGCTTCTATAAACAGTTGTTTTGACTGACTTTAATAATTCCTATAAAGTGGAGGTTTAGACACTGCTTAGACCTTTTTTGTTTCTTCTTTCAGATGAAGATGAATGTGTAGCAGGGAATCCCTGCTCCCATACCTGCCACAATGCCATGGGAACCTATTATTGCTCCTGTCCCAAAGGTCTCACCATAGCTGCAGATGGAAGAACTTGTCAAGGTATTCACAAAGCTAAATCCTATAGACACATTTACACATGGACAGGGAATCTTTGACCTAGGAAAAGTGTGACATACCAGTCCTCTGCTTTCCTACTACTTCTGCCCACAGCTTGGCCACAAACAGGAAGGTCCTCATTGAGCTAAAAAAGTAAGAAAGAGGGAATACTTGTCCGATTTGCCTTCATATGGTCACTCTGAATGCAGAGATGCCTAGAGCATCTCACTCAAGATCTCAGACAGAGCAAGCAGCATTTTAAATGCCACCTTAACGTGATCTGACTCATTGGTTGTTTGTGAAGACATCACACCACGCTGCTGTGAGTTTGTCTGCTGTTTAACCCATGTGAAATGACTCAACCAGAAAAATTCAGTCCTTCTTGCTCTTTATGTTTTTCAAATGTTACCTGGTTTTTCTTCCCTGTTCAATAGCAGGTTCTTAGGCTATGTTTTCTTCAACCCATCTCAATTGCATGACTTCCTATGTTGCAGATATTGACGAATGTGCTTTGGGTGGACACACCTGCCACTCTGGTCAGGACTGTGACAACACCATTGGATCCTATCGTTGTGTGGTCCGTTGTGGAATTGGCTTTCGAAGAACTTCTGATGGTCTGAGTTGTCAAGGTACAAAAATGGAGGCTTTTTCTCCATATTTATGATGCTGAGAATTTGACCCCTGTTTGAATCCTTTAAACTCTGCCAAGAAACTCCAAAGGCAAGGTGCCAGGTAAAAGGGAGAGAATGGGGAGCTATGAAGCAGTGGGACTTCAGTTTCTCCTGAGAACTTAAACCAGAACCTCAGTTTCCACGTTTCATAAGTTGAGTTTCCTGATGCACTCTTATTTAGAAGTAATGTTCCACAGCTATTTTAAATATTTGTAGCACAGTGGTTTGAGGCAATATTTGTCCATTGCTATTTGATGGAATAGATCATACAACATGATCTACTAGAACTCACTTCATTATATGCATTGCATAATACTGAATATAGGCCAGAAAGCTTATTGCAGGATTTTTAAAAATAGACTTTATTTTTAGAGCAGTTTCAATACAAAGCAAAGTCTCAGTTCCTCGATGTCCCCTGGCCACTCTTCCTACACACATATAAACATCCCGCCCACAGTGGAAAGTTTGTTGTAATTGATGAAGATATATTGATATATTATCATCCAGAGTCCATCACTTGCATTATACTTCACTCTCAGTGTAATATATTCTACACATGTGTGCCATTTTATAGTGACATATATCCACCATTATAGTATCATATAGAGTAATTTCACTGCCCTGAAATTCCTCTGTCTTCCACGTATGTACCCATGTCTCCCTCCATGTTCTGGAAACTACTGATCTTTTTATGGTCTCCACAGTTTTGCCTTTTCCAGAATGCGGTATGCTGGAATTCTACGGTATATAACCTTTTCCCAGACTGGCTTCTTTCACTTAGTAATTAAGCATCCTCATTGTCTTTTCATGGCTTGATAGCACATTTCTTTTAGCACTGAATAATATGCTATTGTGTAACTGTACCACAGTTTATTTCTTTTACTTAATGGACATTTCAATTGCTTCCAAGTTTTGGCAATTAGTAACAAAACTGCTATTAAGATTTTTCACAAAAGCCAAAAAACAGTAGATCCAAACCTCTGTGATAAAAAGAATAAATAAAATATAGTCCATCTACACATTGAATCATGTGCAGACATGTGACAACCCAGGTGTAGGAAAATGTGTATAACTTTTGTAGTAAGGAATATGTAACTGGAAAACAAAGTTGAAGGATGTGGAATAGAAAAATAAAGGCAGGATGTTGAGATGAGTGTGACCAGAGAGGGGATTGTGTTATGATGGAAGAAGGGAAATGACAGTAAAAATAAAGGACTTAAAATGCACAAGAGGAGGGAATGATTGGTGAGCCACAATCCTCATGTTGGTGAGGAGGGAAAAGATGGGGTGCCAAGGGCAAAAGCGCAAATAGAGGCATTTTTCTTAAATGGGAGGTCTCTTTTCCTTGGGGCTTGGAGGGAAGGAGAAAAGAGAAGGCACAAAACACAGGTAAGTGCATAAAAGTTTAAAGATTTCATACCTACATGCTTTTTTGTTTTTTTGGCGGTACTGGGGTTTGAACTCAGGACCTCAGGCTTGTCAAGCAGGTGCTCTACCACTTGAGCCACTCTGCCAGCCCAGACCTGCAATCTTTATGACACCATGAGCTAGATGATGTTTGAGAAGAATTGGGCAGTGACTGCGGAGGAAAAGAAATACTGAAAGTACTGCAGTCAGTCAGATACAAGGTGATAGAAACGTGCATTTGGATAAAAACAGCAAGAATGGGGAAACAAGATCAACTGCAAAAGATATTGCAAAAGACCTTTGTGTTTCTTTCCCCTCTATCTTCATTCCTGACTGTCTGCAACATTCCAGGGCTGATGCTTCTTAGAAACAGGAGTGTGAACCATATGGTAAAATACTTCAAGTAAAAGAGTACTCCATCAATGTAGTTCTGAATCATTTGCACATGTCTCCCCTTAAGAAGTGTTAAGAGAGATACTCTCTCCAGAAGTTAATTCTATCAGTTATTCAGACCATAGGAGAGCAAATATATTGGATTAATTTTAGGGGTCTTGAACATGATCATCAGCAATATCATTCAAATATTAAACATTTGTAGGACTAGGGATGTAGCTCAGTGGTAGAGGGATTACATAGCATGTACAAGGCCCTGGGTTCAGTACCTAGCATTGCTAAAAAATTAAACATTGGTGATTTGGGATTAATTAGCTCAGGCTTTCTAGAAGCATATTATGAAAGATTTGTTTTAATTAACAGATATTAATGAATGTCAAGAGTCCAGTCCCTGTCACCAGCGCTGCTTCAATGTCATAGGCAGTTTCCACTGTGGATGTGAACCTGGTTATCAGCTGAAAGGCAGAAAATGCATGGGTAAGAAAAGGACTTTGAATTCACAGCAATGATGCCTCTGTAACTTCCTAATGTTGTCTGATCTAAATGCTGTGTCAAATTCAGATAGACACCAACCATGCATCCTGTATGTAATTCATGCAAAAAGTAATCAAATCCTTTGTTTTATGAGTTTCATTTTCTAATTACATAATTACATAGCCATTCTATTGACATTTTCCTTATTTACTGAGTTTTTCACTAAAGTTAATATACACACACACACACACACACATATAGTTATTTTTCTGAGAACAGTAAGCCATTGTATGGCTACCAGTCCTAAGCAATACTTAGTTTTTGTTTTTGATTTTTATCATTCTATTGTAAAGAAAAATGTATTACATACCTTACTGGATTTTAGCACTTACACAATTTTAGCCTTATACAATGATTATGGACCAGGTATCTGTAACAGCCTTAAAATACACAGGACTGGTTTATCTGCAAAAGTGTAAGCAATCATTTGTTCAGTCTGCATTACCTTTGTCCTTTATCAAGATGTGAACGAGTGTAGACAGAATGTGTGCAGACCAGATCAGCACTGTAAGAATACCCGAGGTGGCTACAAGTGCATTGATCTTTGTCCAAATGGAATGACCAAGGCAGAAAATGGAACCTGCATTGGTGAGTGTTGGGCTCTTTCAGTGACTGAGACCTATTTACCATCAACAAATCAGGTAAAACATCCATTTCAAAGACAAATAATGAGGACAAATTTAAGCTAACAAGGAAATCTTTCTCCTAAAATACATTTGGTTTACATAGTCTAATATCCACATTAATTCATATGATCACATATCATTTCTAATACAAAAGTAAACATATATGTTTACAACTTCATAGTGAGGTTAAGAAAAAATATATTTGTAGATATTTATTAAAAGTTCAAAATATACTTATTTTAGAACAAATATTCTTTTAAGTATCAAATTAGTGACCAAACAATAAAACAAATTATATTTTGCCTAAAATTTATTATTTGGCTGTCTGTTTTGTGTCAGTCTACTGAGTTAGCAGATATCATTGATCTGAAACTTAGAAAACAAAGTAAATTATATTTCTCCTAAATTTGTTTTTATTGGCCTATCCTATAACAGCCTATCTGAGTTTCCAAAGCTAGAAACTAATGGATTTATAAAAACACAATGATGTAAAATAGGTTGTTGGGATAACACCATTCATAGTAAAAAAACAAAACATAGTGATGTTCTTCCTGCCTTCATGTATTTATAGTCTACAGTCAGTTGGCCTGCTGTACTCCTTCCATCAAAAGGAAACAAAACTGCAATACAAGGTAGAATGAAACATCATAAAGGATTCAAATAAAGTTGTATGAGCATACCCAAGAATGATTGTATGTAATAGGAGTTACTATCAAAGGTGTCACAGAAGTGGTCACATTTAAATGTAAACTTAAATCTAATGTTAATTGGTAGAGATAGTAGAACAAGGGAAACAGGAAAGTCCTGTACATGGGAACTAGCTAAACACAAGATAAACTATGAAAATGAATCTTTCCTTCTCAACAGCCAATTGACCTTGGACAAGTCTTACAATCATGAAGAAAATTTAGTTTAAGTTTCATCTTACAAAAACTGTGCTTTTCTAAAAAATACTCATTCTGAAATGTCCCTTAATAAAGTTATAAGATGCCTTGGATTTGGTTCTAGCAAATACAGTAGGAGTGTCAGGTACAGTTATAGGTAAACAAATATTAACCATTTGTTGAAAATTGTTGAGGTACATGCAGGTTTAGTATACTTTAAAAAAACGGGTGGCTGGTGCTGAACTGTCATGTTCTGAAGATGTTTCAGGCTTAACACTGTAGATGTAAGTATATATTTTCCTCAACTCAAGAGCAGCAAACAACTCAGACTATTACATATAGTTATATGCAACTGTAAATATTTTCAGTGATGTGAACTCTGTGATTATGTCTAAGATAATTAGAAATGAGATAAGCTAGTTATCATAAAACTAAGAAGCTACAGCAGAAATCTAGCTCAGTGGGAATGGAAATATGGAAATTTATGGTTGTGATTGAAGGAAACAGCCCAGTCTTGACAACTGAAGGAAGCAGTTAAAGACACCTCTCATATGTGCAGCCCGATTGACAAGAAAACAGGAGAGCTGTGGCCATAAATAGAGAAGTAAGAATAAGATTGGGGGCGCACTGGGTTTCATGTACTGGAGAAACATAGACATGGAAATGTCTAGAAGCAGCCTGTAGGAAACATGGGCCTACAGATCAGAAGCAGTGCAGCTGCTGCTCTGAGTCCGCCTAAACACTAATCACTAGTATAAGTAAGATGGGCAAAGGAGCTACAGAGGAGTACGGAGAAGGAGCAGAAACAAAGCTGAGAATAAAACTCTTTTCATAATAGGAAGCAGGAGGAAGGAAAGGAGTCAGTTAATAAATTGGAGCTGGGACTTTGAACCTATGATTTCTGACTCCAAGACCTAAGTCCTAAGATGATAGGATCTCAGCCATAGGGTGAGAAATACAATCTTTGGCAGTTCCTCAGAATGTGAATTGTAAATGTAATGAAGCTTTTACGGAAGAAATGTTGTCACTTTTCATTGCCTCCATGTCTGTAGACATTGATGAATGTAAAGATGGGACCCATCAGTGCAGATATAACCAGATATGTGAGAATACAAGAGGCAGCTATCGCTGTGTGTGCCCTAGAGGTTTCCGGTCTCAAGGCATTGGAAGACCCTGCATGGGTAAGTCAACAGGAGCTCTTCTTGAGTATTAAAGCTATTAATATAGTTACCTAGCCTTGCCAACCACGCAGGACCACTCTCTCCTCACATGCTCTCTTGCTCTACTTAGAAGACATGTGAACAGGTTTAAGCAGTTCATAATATTATTCAGATATTTCTTCAGAGACTTCCTATTGAGTTTAACTTATATTGACATCTCAAGTGATAGTATAATGACTTACTGAGTGCTTTCTAAACATCATACATATCAAAGTGAGCTTCTGATACAATTTCCTTGTTAATTATGTCAAGATTACAAGCAAGGTATGGTAGCTCATGCCTGTAAACCCAGCCCTGGAAAGGCTGAGAAAGGAGGATCATTTGAGCTCAGGGTCTGAAGATAAGCCTGGGCAACATAGCAAGACCCTGCTTCAAAAAATGTATTTCGTTATTTCTTCTGTACATTCAACATAAATATTTGCATAGATGCATTTTATTTGAGTATGAAGGATCCTTGTATGTAGTATGAAAGTTTAGGCATGAAGGATTAAAAACAAACACACAATTTAGGTGAATTGATAATTATTACTTTATCTACCATATATTTAGTGTGTACTAAATATACACTAAATGTGTTCTATTCCCTGTGCTAAAAATATCTTATTTAGTTCCCCAATTATCTATTTGTTTCCAGCCCAGTTACAATCAAATGCAAAGTAAAGCAGATAATAGGAAATATCTTTAAGAAGGTAACTGTATACTTAAAAAAAATTAGTGCATTTATAGTTAAGAAACTGGTCAAATTGTATTCTTCTTCAGATTATTTAAGTGCAGTAAAAAAATGTGTAGGCTTTTAAATAGTAGATTCTGGATTCCATGCAATTCTTTTAAAGTTAGTTGACTTGATTGTTTAGTAAACAATTACTTATGACAAATTTTCCCATAAAGGTTTAATTCTGTTTTAATGCGGTTCCTACCATGGTACTCTGCACATAGCAAACATTCAAACTAATACTACTTCTAGAAATTCTTTTGAAAGTCATGATTTTACTGTCAGAAATACACAGCACATCATTTCAGCCTTCTGCATAGGTATTCTAATTGACATACAATTTAACTTTTCTTTTTGGTGGGACTGGCGTTTAAACTCAGGGCTTCACACTTGCAAAGTAGGCAACTCTACCACTTCAGCCACACATCCACTCCTGATTAATATACTGATCAGTCATGTCAGTGGCTTAGCAGAGTGAAATGTGTTTATCTGTTTACTGATTTGACCAACAGTAGAATGTCTGACATTGGACTGGGGAATAAACAATGAGGAAAGTTGAGCCAGTGTTTAAAGAGATTAAAAAATGATCATTTTAATTTTTGCCTTTCTAAAGTAGTTTTAAAGCAAAAATTACTACTTTATTCTACCTTCTTTTTTTCAATACTAGGGATCAAACCCAGGTCCTTGCACATGGTAGACAAGCACTCCACCACTGTGCTAACCACCCTCTTCTATCTTTTTATGTTATTTCTCACCACTGTGGTAACAGATTTAAAGAATTTGGTTTTGACCACTGGTTTTCATTTACTTTTTCTAATTTACAGAAAGAGTTGTAAGTATATACTCCATTTGTTGACATATAAATAGAAAGAAAAATCACTTTTAAAAGTTTTATGGGCTTGGTAAGTTTATAGCTTAATAAGAAGAGATTCTGTGTTTTTGTTTCCTTCTTTTTAATCTTTTGGAAAAAGTGGTTTTGGCTTGATTCAAAACTATGATACCAAAAAAGATGAAAGAAATTTACAACTCTATAATTCTACAATATTCTTACATCTGAAACTTGTACAGAAGATTAGAAGCACTAGTGATCAATATTATAATTAAATGAAAACTGCAGATGTGATTTCATTCTTCCCTCCATCACCAGGATTAAGATTACATTAGCTTTTAAACTCAGGTTTCTCTGTATTCAAGACCAGGTTTTCTTTGTCTTTCTTACTTTATTTTTTAATCTGACTTTTTTTGGTGGTACCAGGGTTTGAACTCAGACCTTCACACTTAGTAGGCAGGCACTCTACCACATGAGCCATGTCTCTATTCCCCATGTGTTCTTAAGTAACACTGCCAATGTCTCCACTTAACACATTGTCAAGCCCATTGCTTCATTATTTCAACAAATGTTTATTGAGCACCTAATTTGTGCTGCATGATGTTCTAAATTGTGGAATCACAGTATTAAACAGGGTAGACCAGGTCTTTGTCCTCACAAAGTTTACCTTCCATGGAGGGAAAGAAGAATCACGAAATAAATATACAATACAATTTCAGACAGTGATAAGTGCTCTAAGACGAGGAAGAAGAGAGAGGCAGCTCAGGGTGGTAGCACTGTGGTCCCAGCACCTCTGTAGAAACTGAATGAGATGAAGGAGCAGCCAGTGTGGGAAGGCCTGAGTGCATGCACTCCAGGCTGAGGTGACAGCTGAAACAAAGTCCTTCAGAGAGGCATGTGGAGACCATAATCAAGGACAAGCAAAGGGCCAGTACTGTTCCAGCAAAATTAGGCAGAGGGTAAAGAGGCCATGATACAAAGTCTAGATTTTCAGCCAGGTGCTTTGGTTCAAGCCCATAATCCTATCTATTTGGGAGGCAGAGATCTGGAGGATCGTGGTTTAAGGCCCACCCAGCAAAAAGTTTGTGAGACTCCATCTTAACCAATACCTGGGTGCAATGGTATACACCTGTCATCACCAGCTATGCAAAGAAGCTGAAATCAGAGGATCATGATGCAGACTGACCTGGGAATAAACTGGGAGGCCCCAAGTTCAACCTCCAGTGCCTTAAAAAAAAAAAGAGAGAGAGAGAGAGAGTCTAAATTTTCTTTTAAATGTGTGATGGAAAGACACAGAAAGTCTTAAGCGGATGAGCAGTGTGATACAATTCACATTTGGAAAAGACCACTGTGTGGAGAATAAACCATAAGAGGACAGAGATGGATTTAGAAAGATGAGGCTCACATAAAAACACAACTAAGCATGAAAGTAGTTACATATTTAGGAATATTATACTTAAACATATTTAAATATTTTCAGTATTGTCAATCAATTAGGAAAGTCAGAAATCCATTTGAAAGACTTATGTGTCAAAAGAGAGAAAGAGCAAAAGGAAAAAAGTTGAGAATGTACACATATCATTATACTAAGAGATTTACTACTGAGAATTTTTAATAATTGTAGTTTTATGAAAATTATATTAATTTGGGATTCCATGCATTTTGCATCTTTTTCCCTAGAGGAATATACACAGATTGCAATAATTTAGCTTGCCCCTATCTAGTTTAACTCAGAAAGCTGAATGTAGTGTTTATAAGATTTTAAATACACCTTTTGTAATCCCAGCTACTAGGGAGGTAGGAAGGTTGCTGGCCCAGGAAAAAGCTCACAAGTTTATCTGAAAAATAAACTAAAGCAAGAAAGTCGGTGGGCATAGCTCAAGTGGTAGAGTGCCTGTTTGGCGAGTGCAAGGCCCTGAGTTCAAACCCCCTACTGCCAAAAAAAATTTGTTGCACGTTATATGCGAAGATGTGCTGTCAAACTGATACAAATCCAGGTTTGTTTGTTTTTCAGTCGAGGAGGCAAGATTGAAATAGAGTTCATTAGGTCTTGAGGCCATCACAGGGAAAGTGAAAGGAGGTGGGTTCACAGAACTAGTGCCTGCTTTTCTGAGCCACCTGTTGCAAAATGAGTGTTGAAACAGAACTGTGCATATGAAGCAATGTTTACAGAGGGTCCCTCCATGGATTCATAACTGAGTGATTAAAGCTTTCTCAAAAGTTCACAACAGTCGGGGAGAATTTACTGTATTTCCTGCCTGTGGAGAGTAACATATGTCTTCAGTTTGTTTCATAGACTGATTGTTTCTTCCTGTGTTCTGTGTGTATGTATGTGTGTTTTTTTCTTTTTTATGTATCATGGCACACGAGCAGACATTAACGAATGTGAACAAGTGCCTAAACCTTGTGCACATCAATGCTCCAACCGCCCCGGCAGCTTCCAATGTGTCTGTCCACCAGGACAACATTTATTAGGGGACGGTAAATCCTGCGCTGCATTGGAGAGGCTGCCAAATTATGGTGCTCAGTACAATAGCTATAACCCTGCCCGGTTCTCCCCCGTGAGAAACAACCACCAACCTCACCAGCATTACAGACAGCACTCACATCGCTACAGCTCGTACTCAGAGTCTAGAAAGAGCAGAACACCTCTCTCCAGGACTAGAAGGACTAGTAGGAAAACTTGCCCTGAAGGCTCTGAGGCACACCATGACACATGTGTAGGTAAATGTCAGCCTATTGCATTTCCTTTCTGTGGGCTCACTCCTGACCAGAGCTGAAGTATGAGCAAAGCACCTCTGAGTGTTTGGGGAAACTACGCCAAGTCTGGATGACTCAAAAAGGTTCAAGAGATTCATTCTGGCACCTGAAACAATTTCAAACTGTATTCAAACAAGTGATGTATTTACATGTGTACGTGCTAAAAATTTATTGTGTTCTATTAACAGTTTCTCTTTGGATAACCCTTGAAAGTCTTCATAAATTTAAATGCTTTGTAGAACTAAATTTTAGTGGCTTCCAGAAGGTCTATATATAGCCATCATGCCATAGGCTGCTGGTTCTATACTGCCCAGAGAATTTCTCAGTTCGGTTATTATGTATATTACTGACAAGATAATGTGAGCCAGAACAAAATTAAGTTGCTCCCTTCACCCTGAAATATGTGTATTCAATATCTTTATCTAAACTCACAAGTCTGTAATTTCATTTGTTTGCGAAAGTGAAGTGTAATTTCCAACTTAAGAATGGAGGCCTTGTTTTCAGTTAAGTTGTAAACATTACCATCTGTCATTCATTTAACTCAATTTTCTGTGAATATGCACAGCTTGCATGTCATCAAGCTAGGAACCAAAGGGAATTAGCAAACCGAAATTAGCCCCACCATTTGCTAGATGGGAAAATAAAGCAAGAAGGAAAAGGGAGGAGGGAAGTAAGGAGGGTGGAAAGAAAGAAATGCTGATCAAATTAAAGACCATTATGCCAACCTCATTTTCTTACAATTCTCTTAAGTTTTGTACACTTTGCTTAGTCTCTAGAAAATATGCTTTCTGCTAAACACTTAAATATTTTATGGTTTTCTTCTCCTTCTGACTTCAGTTTTTTTTCATTTCTTTTTCTCCCTTTCTGCAAACCCTGTTCTGCCATTGTTACCTTTTCATACCTGCTTCCTTCACCAACCTTAATGGGTCCCCCCTCGCTCCCTCTGAGTACTCAAACTTTATCTTTGGTTATTAGGTTTGTATTTTCCCAGACTTTTCTGTCTAGATAACCTGATGAGCCTGAAGTTTACTATAAAGATGTGGAAGTGTCTCCCTTGTGGTGAGGTTCCCAGAGCTGTGGACAGTGCCAGTTGCATATGCTTCAAACGTTCATGCATGTATACATTCTACATTTTGTCCAATATGCTCAGCTACTATTACTCACTAAATCTATGGATTTCTAACCATAATTTTGATTATTGGCAAATTTTCATGGCTGTTACTTGGGTCTGAGTCTTCACTAGTTAAAACATTTCACTATTCTTTCATTGACAGAATTAACATGTTTCATTTTGCTTTTCAAAATTTCTTCCAAATGGTTATTCTCACTGTAGAGTTTTCATAATCTGTTCCCACCCCACGCTCGGCCTTCATTTCAGACAACTCTTTCTTCTGTTCTACATTTACTCCTCTTTATTTATGCAATAACAAATGAACTAAACCACACCCCACACTATGCACCCTTAAGCTGCTTTCCTTTAACACATCTGAAAGTGCAAGTCATTTAAGAAACTTTCCCTGATTAATAACCCAACTCTATTTTTCATCACTATCTACAGCTGAAGTTCTATCATAGAAGAGTCTTATAAATGTTTTCTATCTTGATGTTTTGATTAGCACCAATATTATGGCATATCAAAATTTATCTCCCATAATCAGCCACTATTGAGATAGCTACTATTTCAGAGTAAGGATCAATCTTAGAAAATCTAAAGTAAACTTTTATAGCTCACCAGTTCCTGGATATTTAAATTTATTTGGGGTCAATGAGTAGGACTAGATGTTTCTTAAACTATGGTGAATATTTTATAGCATTGGGACTAGTTAAGAAATTTACACTAAGATAGGAGACAGCTCTGAAATTTTATAACAAGAACAACTTACAATGAACACCAAATGCTTGTCATTAACCATCTGGGATAGGCAAGTTACAAAGGGTTCAGATTAACACTGTGGAATCTTGTTAGACTTGGGCTAAAATTTAGCTGTTCAGCAAATTGATTCCAAACAACAGAAAGAATGAACATTGCTTTGATTCTGAATGCAGAAGTCACACTTAGGGCAACTTTAAAATTCATACATCGAGAGATCAAACTCGAAGTTCAGCATAATTTAAATTTCTGTCATTATTTTAGGTTAAAGCAGAAAAATAAAAATAACTCATAAGTTAAGTAACAGAGTGCTTTGGTTGACTAAAATGATGCAAAAACATTGACAAACAAATATCTGATGTGTGTTTATCCTGAATAGATTTGGAGTGGTTGCAGCATGTACAAAATACACAAGGTGAACAGATTGTTTTGCTCAGTGACCCAGTCTTCATTTTGATCTCTCCTTAGTTCTGCCCTCCACCACTCATGTTTCTTGTCACTGGATAATCTGGGCTCAGGAATCATGAGCAAATATAAATATTAGTCAAAGAAAATATCAATTAATTTTGAATTATCTATTCTCACTCCCCTTTTCATTGCTATTTTCTTGGATTTGTTCAATAAGAGGAGATAGGCCCTGTGGTTTATAAAATGTTTTCCTATCTATTTCTGCATATGAACCTTCCAATAAGCCTGTAAAACACAGTAGATGGTCTCTGTCCCCTTTTGGCAGAAAAATCAACTGAGAGCATCCTGAGAAGTTAAATGGGCTGCCAAACATAACATAAACTTATATGTAGTTGCCATTAGTACTTTGTAATTATATGAAGAGCCTGATGAATATTTCTATCACAAAAGTAAAAGCATTTCCATTTGATGATATCTGTGTGTGGGAAAGTGACACATAGATGTTGTGAGGAGGGAATACAGTGAGAAAGAGAACTAAAGTTTAAATGAAATAAAAACTAATACTTCTTTTTCCACTTAATCTCAACAGAAGCCTTATCTTTTAGGTAAATTCTGCCATTTGGGCAAGAGTTTTCTTTGGTGATTAGGGATCTTATTCAAATCTGTCACCTCTGTCATTTCAGTATAACTTATTTAATAAAAAGTTGAGTAGTTTGGAGCTTCAGCTTATGTATGGTTAGGAAGATGATAAAGAGATGTTCATATTTTATAATTTAATATTCTAAATTTGTCCCATATTTAATATTTTCATATCATTAAAGTAGCTCTTGATACAAAATAGCGCTGAGTATTTTTAAGCACATAGGTACAAAATCACCAAAAATTTTGTCGATCGTATATCAACAGCTTGTTTATAGTGAGCTATGTCACAGCCTCTGCCAGGTGTGGTCACACACTCTGCTTTCTTTCTGAACAGATATTGATGAATGTCAAAACAGAGACACCTGCCAGCATGAGTGTAAAAATACCATTGGAAGCTACCAGTGTATCTGCCCACCTGGTTATCAGGTCATGCTCAACGGAAAGACATGTCAAGGTGAGAGAATGTTGGGATGTGTATTGTCGTAATACCAACATAGGAAATTTTGAGCTATTCTTGTGACTATTCATTTCCCTATTTGCTTCTTCTTTCCCATTCCCATTGGTCAGTCTTATATTTAAATATTACTTTTGTAAATAAAGTAAGAGAAGCAATAAGAAAGCAATTCAGTAAAGGAAAATAATTGAGACACATTTTTGGTATGGTCTTAAAGAAGCAAGAATGCCTAAACCAGTTCATAGTACATATTTCTAAAACTTAGTGAGAAGAGACCTTGTCAAACATTTTTTCCCAGTTCAGGTAAGATGGTAAGGGAAATGAGAAGAGTACTCAGTAAATTTACTACAGCATGAGGGATTATTTGATATTTTGTCTTTCAGACTTATTTATTAGAACAATCAGTAGACAAACAATCCATTCATTCCCTAAGCCCTCAGATGCTGTAGGACAATCACATGCTACCTTTACAAAATGCAAAAGGGTCAAATAGATGAATAAGAATGGACCTTGCCTTTCAGTGCTTGTGGTGTAGTGGAGACACATGGAAATAAATCAAAATACTAATGCACAGGTTCGGTAGCAGAGCTGGGAATAAAGTATAGTGATAATAGAAAGACAATCAACCTCAAGTGTTCCCTTGTCATACAAAAATGTGAAAGGAGAACTGTACTTTGGTGAGGTTTATTTTATATTGCAACATGTACTTAGGTTACACAGAATAACTTTTTTAAATGTTCTAAGAAATCCTCTCAATTTGGCGAATAAAATCTCTGGGTGTTTTGTAGGTCTTTATATGGTTCTAAATCTTATTAATTTCTGTCATGTACAAACTATATCCTTTTGAAAAGTACATCAAATAAAAATTTTCAAAAAAGAGCTTTATCAGGAGCAATCAAATTGAGATTGAATTTTCTCTTTCTTGGATTCACAGAAGTCTTGCTAGGAATGCAGCTCCTGGAAATTGTGTTCCAGAAGCCAGGACCAGGATGGGCAGTGGGTTTACCTTAGCTATAGTGTGCCACCCCATTGCTCCCCTACCATTCTCATGGAATTGGTTGGAAAGGAATGTGAATTCCTTCATGGTAATCTTTGCTCCTGCCCATCGGCCACCAAACATGGTTAAGAAGCTATCCTCTACAGAATACGTCACTAAGACTTGAAGTACTAGAATAACATATTTATATTATCACACCATGTTTTTCAAAGCAACAGTTACCTCATTTGAGTCAACGGAATAGATATATTAAGGGCAATCATTTGTTTAGATAATAAAAATGAATTCTGAGTGATTATTTGAGCCTCAGTATCCCAGAACGGTCAAGAGCAGAGTTAGAACTTGACCTCAGATCACATACTCTGAAACACCCTTTGTCTCTCCCACAGCATTGTGAGCACCAGGAGCAGGGGTGGGGCCACTGACTGCCCATGCTTTGAACTTGCCTCAGTTCTTCAACCCAAAACTCTTTTGGAAGGCGCACCAGTGCCCAACCCTGTAACTACACTTCCTGTAGTTGCACCAAGCACCAAGGAAGTAAGCAGGGCAGGTGCCAAAGGTTTTGAAATAAACAACAAAACCACAAAACCCCTTAGCCAGTCTTAAAGAGCTATGTCATACACTCAGAGACATTCTTCTTTTCCAAATTTTGCCAGTTTATTTTTTCATTGCCCTTGTCACTCATTTAGCACAAATGTTTTTCAGTTTTCATTTGTGCTACAGAGTGGAAAACACTGTGAACAAATCAGAAACAGGTGTCACTTGAAATGCTTGCAATTTAAATAAATTACATATTTTTGTGGCTTTAAAAAGACATGAGAAAAACAGTTGTGCCTTTTAAAGAAGTCTTTAAAGAATAACTTGGAGTCTTTTTATAGCTTTAGAAAGTGTTTGAGGCATTCATGAGGAACAAAGGACTGTTTTTCATTCACATACAATTTTTTAAAGCTTTATATATTAATGTTAGAAATGTCCATAGAAAAGGGAAATTAAACTGAATTTAACATGGAACAATGAGGAGAAACTAAAAGATCCTTATGCTAATTTTATGCGCCAGTAATCTAATTCTAAAAATTTAGGAACATTTTATTGGCACTGCATTTGAAATGAGTATTCTCATCTATCCATGGTTTTAAAAAAGTAACCCATAATGCTTACCAAATCTGAATCACTTATGCTCTGTGTAAGACAGATGTTTCAAGTATGTCTAAATATCCAGAAGCATATGGTTAAATGCATTCATTTGGTCTAAAGCTATTAATATAAAACCTTTTCAGCTCATTTTGGGATTCTTGTAGCAGTAATATTTAAAAGATGCTTATAACATTCTGTAATGTTTAGTAAAAAGCAGACATCACCACATTGTCCATTAACAGAAGACAAAACGTGATTTCTCATTTCTTCTCTTTTTTTTTTGGATTTTGGTTTTGGTTTTTTGTCTTCTTCTTTAAAGAACAGTGAGTATAGTGACTGATAGAGAAGCCTGTCTGCCTGTAGGGTGCTTAATTCTGAGAAGTAATAGACCAAAGACAAAGGAGGCTGTCTACCTGGCAGCTCACTGCTTATGAAGGCTTTTTTTATGGAAAGCAAAAGATATTATGGACTAAGGCAAACACTTTGTGTATTAGATTCTGATGCTTCTTTGTAGGTTTGTGTTCAGCCAGTGAGACTCTGTAAGTTATCTCCTCTTACTGTGCACACGGATATGTCTCCATGCCACCATTATCATGGTCCCAGGTTTCTGCATGAATTCACTGTAAAAGCTAGAGATAAAATGAAACTTTGAGGATAAGTGTGAAAGGAACCTTTTTAATGAGCGAAAGAAACATAAGCCTAATTGAGTTTCTTTCACATTTTCCTGAAGGGCTTTTTACTTCATTTCTGAGACAATCTCATTTTGTTAAGGAGATGAAGAACTTCTGATAGATAAAAGCATAATTAGAAATTGGTTCACAGAGATAATAGTGAAGAATACTGAAATAAAAACTCATTTCACCCTGGGTTTCATTACTGTAGGAAAACTAGTCCTAATATAACACTAGAAAAGAAAATACAGAACGTGGTCACTGTTGGCATTAGACGCTTTAAAAAGTCAAGTAAGTGACTTACTGCACACTTTTCTAGCACATTTTTTCACTTTGTCATATATTTTCACCATTATTAAATTTAAAGTAAATAAGTACATTTTGGTCTCCTTAGAAAACAGAATATATTTGGAATCAAATCTGAGATACACATTTTAATACAAAAATGTAAATGGTAAATAATTCTGAAATAAATTGACATTTATTGTACATGATTAATGTACTCTCTCTTGAAGTTTCTTCTCTTCTTTCTCTTTCAGTATAACAATACTCCAAATTATTTAAGAGTTCACAAAAGTCCTTCATGGCCTTAAGCCAAGTCCAGTTTAAATGCTACCAAGTTCCTACTGCAAAAGCCACACAGTTTCACATGCTCATTGGTCAGCACCAGTTCCATGGTATAAATGCCCTTGACTTTCAGGACTTTCTTGGGGAACTGATTTGGGTTCATTTTTTTGTACCGGACTGTAGATGTTCCCTCGCATCAGGACTCCCACACATCAGGATTCAATTGCTTAAGGAGGAATGTTGTAATTGCCCATATGAAATCAATTGGCTTAGACTGTGAAGCCTTGTATTTTCCTTGCACATTTTCTAATTAGCCCCAAAGTTTCTTATCTTAAGATTAAACAGTCACAAATGACATGAATTCTGTCATTGTTATTTAGTATACACATGCTTTAAGTTTATGTTCATCAAAACTTTGGAGGTTCAGGTTTCTTCCTCAGCTAATAGAGGATGATATTATAAGTCTGTACTCATTGTCAAGCAGTCAAATTGTCAGAAAAAGGCTAAAGGTCATTTTCTGTTCAAACAAAAGTGTTAGTGGCGTTCCTATAGCAACCAAGTCACTTCTGACTAAAATAGAGAGCAAGCCCATAGCTTCATATGAATGGCATGATAAGGCACACCACCACAGTATCTATTACCAATATTCTCACCTTTCACTTGGGCCCCTGGAGTTAGCAGCAAGCTTTCTTTTATAAGGCAGAAGAAGGCTGTGAAAGAGGAGAAGGGAAAGGAGACCTCCAGACCAGAAGAAGTTCTCAGACAGATTGATTTTTATGAAGGATATTTTATGGAAAATGAGGATTTGGAAATTGATTCCCTGGAATATTTGCTTGCCCTCATACTGCTAAAAAAGGTTCCATATACTACCAACAGGACGCAGATACCTTGTTCGGAAAACATTCCTCTAAAATCCCCCAAACTTTGTTGAACTCCATGGACCCTCTTTCCAGAAAATCTGTTGATCAATAGTCTCTCTCTCTCTCTTTCTCTCTTTTTCTCTCTCTCTCTCTCACACACACACTCACACACACACATAAAGATTTTCATTCACAAATCCCCAGTGTTCCAAAATGGACAGCAAATTAAGAATTATGACTCAAAATTCTTTATTTTCAGAAAGCTCAAAAAGGTTTCCTCTAGCTCTGTGCTCATTATTCTTAATAATTTATTTTTTTGCATATTTCCCCCATTACCTCAGAACATCCCATTGCTATACAAGGAGAGGTAGACTCTGGACAGTCAGTTGATGGCTCCCCTCTGTTTGATTAAATTCAGATTGTGGTTCTTGGGTCATTCATTTGATTCTGTTTTATTCTTTATTGTGTTGTTTTCAAGATCCGGTTGACTTATGAAGTCTCCTCTGAATTTATGACACCTTTAATTTCAACTACCCTACTTTCCACTCAACAATTTGAACACTCAACAAAAAATACTAGGGAATGATCACATGCATTTGAAAGAGATTCTTCTTGTTAAAAAAATATTTACAAGTAAAATATTTAGCTTGTTCATAGTGCACTTAAAATACTCTTTGCTTTTCAACAAAACTCGTGTACTCTATTTTCCCAAAATAAGAGACACTAAAGAACTCTTAATAATTCCCCTTCTGCTTTTATAGTTCTTATTTTTGATGTTTTTCCACATATGTTAAAGAAACATATACTCAAAGCAATCTAGGAAATAGATTTACCAGGGATCCTGATCCATTTTGTGGTTGAAGCTTAGGGATGATAGGTGAGTTTATTCACGGGGCAGGGAAGAAGTTAGGCCTCTATATTCCAGTCACATACCAGTGTCTGCTGGGGTGACCTTTTCTGACCCCCACTGATGACGCTTTGTGTCTTATGCTGTCCCCAGATATTGATGAGTGTCTGGAGCAGAACATACGCTGTGGGTCGAATCGCATGTGTTTCAACATGAGAGGAAGCTACCGGTGCATCGACACGCCCTGTCCACCCAACTACCAACGGGACCCTGTGGCAGGGTATGTCTTCCTTTTTCATCCCAGACATGCTTCTGAAAATCCTTCATCTCACTCCTTGACCAACCTAAATCCAGTCTGCGTGCATATTTAACTCATAGGAAGTCAGTAACCCCGAGGCTCACAGTGTGTTCCTTCTTCAGTAAATGAGGAGGAAATGAGATCACCCAGCAACAGCCACTGCAACCTAAGTCATCACTTGTGGTTGCCAAGGCTTCCTGGAGCAGTCTCCCCAGCACAGAATCACCATGTAACATAAAGGGCTCTACCTCAGCAGTGAGCATTTTATGGGATGATAAAACCTACCTTTCTGTGAGATTTTCCAGTTTTCATTTATGCTTTTGGCCTGTAGAGCACTCCAGGAGTTACTTTTTCTACTGCTATGATGACTTACCACACTGTGAGGGAACAGAGAGGAGCAAGGATGAGTCAGTAGTCTCCCCACTCATGGTGTCTTGCTTTAGATTTCCTACTGTCTGAAGCAGGCTCTTCTAGATTCTGAATAAACTGCTCTTCTGTTTTCCCCTCCTCTTGAAGATATGTTGTACCCATCCAGGTACTAAGATAATAGGATGCTTGAAAACAAGTGATAATGTTTATCCTGGAAAGTCCTGCTAACAAGAAGGTGTTTCTGAAACCAAATACTCAGTGGAGAGCTCATGCTTCATTTTCTTTTTGGTAATGTCTACCAAGTTAGGAACATGCTCAGAATCCACCACCTGTTTCTTCTCATAGGAATACAAAACGGACGCAGAAAATTAAAAACAGAGGCTTATGAAATGTCCAAAAAACTATGACTAAAGAATCCATCCTCATAAAACAATCTTCTGCGTTCTTTTCTTATTCTGGCAAACAATTAAAAAGTTACCATGACTCTAAAGTCAATGTGGGCTCTAGAAAAAGAAAATTACAGTATTTAATGTAAAGTAATATGAAAGAAAATCACAAAAGGTCGTCCAACCCACCCAGAAATCCTTTTATTATTTTTAGATAAATCAGCCAAATATCAATATATCCTTTTTCAGCATGAAAACATGTAGATGTTTTAATTTAAATGCAGCTTGCATTCTTCTCTTTAAGAAGTATTTGTTTCATATACAAGTGCCTTTATTTCCAAAACTAACTTTTCATTTTAAAGAAAGTATTCTTGGGGTAGGTGAGGTAGAACTTAGTGGTAAAATGTGTGCTTTAGCATGCACGAGGCCCTGACCAGCTCAACTCCCAGAAGCGCCTTGCCAGAAAAGGAAGAATGTACTCAGGGTACTCATTCTTACTTCAGGAACTCAGATGCTTCTTAAATGAATGGAGCAGAAATAGATATTTGACTCTCGACCAGCATATTCTCTTTAGCGTCCGGCATGTGGTTTGAGTTAGTGACACAGAACGGGGGTGAGCCTTATTGCACTCGCAGTGAGGACTGCCTTCTGCATCGATGCCTAAATGTTGTCCTGGATCATGATCACCCACGTCATGCCTTCTCCTGCTTCTCAGCCAGATAACGGTATGTCTTTCATATGTTTATTTTCCTTAGGTTCTGCCTCAAGAGCTGTCCACCCAATGATCTGGAATGTGCCTTGAGCCCATATGCCTTGGAGTATAAGCTTGTCTCCCTCCCGTTTGGAATAGCTGCCAATCAAGATTTAATCCGGCTGGTTGCATACACACAGGATGGAGTGATGCATCGCAGGACAACTTTCCTCACGGAAGATGAGGAACAGACTGTCCCTTTTGCCTTAAGGGATGAAAACCTGAAAGGAGTGGTGTTCACTACTCGACCACTACGGGAGCCAGAGACCTACCGCATGAGGGTGCGAGCTGTATCCTACAGCGCCAACGGGACCGTGGAGTACCAGACCACGTTCATAGTTTATATAGCTGTGTCTGCCTATCCGTACTGAGCTGCTGCCCAGGACCTGCTCCCATATTTAAACCACAGTCAGGCAAAAAGTGTCCCATCCGGGTTACTATCGTGAACAGCTGCAGCATTGGCAGTTTGAAAATGCTGCTACATGCTCTGTTTTCTGTGCCTTCCTCGGTACTGCTGAGGGATTTTTAAGATCCCACTCTGGTCATTGTCTCTTAGGAAGGTCTAGAAGAGTCCCTTATTATTTTTGTTATTTATTACACTGGAGCAGTTACTTCCCAAAGATTATTCTGAACACCTAGCAAGGACATATCAGTGATATTTTATAGTAGCATAGTAGCTAAGATTATTTTCCTGAAAAAAATAAAACAAAAAGCAACTAATCCCCAGTACAACAGAGTTTTCAGCATTTGACTGTTTTTAGAATAAAAAAACCTAGTTGCTATGTATTTTGATAAAAACGTATAAGGTTTTCTTAGATATTGGTTCTTTAAAATAGGATTTTTATGTCTTCTTTGGTTTTAAGGAGAAAAAAAAGAAATACCACTCCTTTTAAAAATGTACTACAGCTACTAGAAGGTTTGTTGGATCCCAAATGATGGTCATATTGATTTAACATCCAAAGCAAGGATATTATTTTCAGTGATTTTGTGAAATCATCTGAATCACTTATGATAATACAAAAAAATGACTTTGTCCTCAAATGATTGTCCATGGCATAGTTCTTTGTGCTAACATTTTGATATAACCATCTATCCACTTAGCTCCATAACTTTTAGATAGCTTATTTTTTATTTTTCTGTCAAGTAAAACAATTTTTAGAAATATCAATAGGGCAGGTTTCTTTCTTTCTTTTTTTTTTTAATCTCGTATGTCCACATTAACATGTTAAACGTGCATACACTGTACATGGTGGTAACAGACTCTGTAAGCAATTGACAAGATGTATTCTATTTTTATGAAGTGTATATACATTATCTTAGTGTGTATTTTCTATATAATATCTTGATGGTCTCTTTTATAAAATTATTTTATAAAAAATATTACAGTAAAATCAGCCTAAATAAAATTGTTGTATTCTTTTTCTTAACTTTTTTAAGAACCTAACATGTGTTTCCTTACAGCTATTGTAGGACTTTCAAGCAGGGAGATGGGACACCAAGGCTTTTCAGGAAGCAATATTTATTACCATGCCGGCAGTGGCTCAGCAGATTCCCTCTACCCCTAAACAAGTCATTGGGATTCTATCCTCGCCAAGTCTGGATGGGGACATGGGCAAGCTTTCTCATCCCATCTATGCTTTTCTCTGTGACCTTTTCTTTATCATCAGTCTTTAGGCAACAGTTACTTAGATTGAACTTTCCACACACACCTCCCTCGGAGGCAAGTAAATAGTCCAAGGCTAGGTGGTTTTGGTATATTTCATTGTGCACCTTTGTGTGCTGTTGCACCAGTATGTCAAGGGCCCTTGCAGTTTCATTAGTTATAATTTCAGTTACTGCCTGGGGACAAATATTGCATTTGAGCATATAGATTGGGGTGTGATAGCCCCAGGATCCATCTTCTGCCCAAGTGGCAGGACCATAATACTGAATGATTTTGCTCAGGAGGCCATTCATCATCCTTCCAATTGCCAATTTGTATAGTATCTCATTTTTTTCTAGTGGTTTTTTTTCTCCCTGTATGGGAACTCCCAGTTTTTTACCTTGTGCAAGGGGGAGCAAGAAAAAGGACCAGCTAATCATGGCCAGTATGCAAGACCCAACCCAATCTCTGGGTAGAATTTTATAGCCTAGTTTCCCACACATCCAATATAGCCCCCTGGGCTCCCACCAATCTATGTTCAGGGTAAGATTGACCCAAGCTGCCCAGAGACCAAAGAAGTTGGCCAACAGGTGGGGGTTGGGTTCCAAGTGGTTTAGTGTTCCCACCATCGGGTCTTCTGAGCTGGGTCATTGTAAAATTTTTGTCCTAAACAAGTTAGATCCCCAGCCAGAATGGAGAACTGGCCTTTTGGGCAGGAAATACAGTAATTTTTGATGATGGAAGTTTTTAGGAGCCAGACACTTTTCCTGTGACTGGGGAAGGCAGTCTCATTAAAGGGTTCCCATGGGTTTAGCCCCTTAGCTTCCCACGGCCAGTGGTCTCCCAGGTTGTTTCCCCCACAAATATAACACGAGGTTACATTGAGTGTCTGGGCTATGGACTTGGCTAGTGAGAGGAACAGGTTTCTGGCCTTGATAGACATAGAAAATTCACTCCTCATTTCTTCACAAAAGGAGCGATAACCTTGGTATGAGGAACTCTCATGAGTAATAGTTACTAAGTTGAGGTGCACAGAGTCCCAGGTTCAAGGTCCTTTCCATCTGTCCTTATACTAACTATATGTCCCTGTTTCCAATTGGAGGGCTTAAGTACAGTAAAACTTGCAGGGTTACCGGTGCCTGGGGTACAGTCAGGGGCAGCTGTCCCCTTGCAAAGGAGGGCTGCAATTCTGTCTTTTGCCAAGTAGCCCGTGAAACACAACTCCAGTTAGGGCAATAATAGGAGCCACATCATTACGTGTGAGTTGTCTCCCCAGCACACATACTTACCATTTGACATATGGGCTCTTTCCCAAGCTAGGCCTCCACAGCCACAGCCTATACCTCCACATCCACTTTGATCTGTGGCCGCACATGCATCAAAACGTTGATACTGGCTTATCAGGGTTCAACACCTGGATGTGGCTGATGTTCCCAGGGTTGCAGATGCTCTGAAGCTCTAACCATTGCTCCCAAGGGCAGTAAGTGGGGTGAAGCAGATATGCTGATTACCATGGGAGCACACCAAATAGATGGTATGATTGTGGGTGCATGACCCGATGACAGTGCCTGCACAGGAATAGTAAATATGGAAAAGCAGTGTCCTGGTGGCAACACCTCCTGCGCAGTTACTATGCATACATAGATCACAGTTTGAGATCTGGGGGTTCTCGAGCAAGGAACTGATTAAATTTCATGTAAGGAAAATATGGAAAGGCCCATCCCTGGGGGGAGAAGAAGATGACTCCCTAACATTTCACCATGCGTAGATGAGTCAGCTTCTGGAGTGACTAGAGCAGGGTTCTTGTCCCATGGTTCATGGTTCCCTGTTGTTTCCCGGGAGGCAGGGTCCTTCCAAGGAAAGGTACAGGCATTCAAGAGGGTGGTCTTGCATGGTGAGACTGGGTCAGGGATGCACTTCCACTTGAGAGAGGCTGTCTTCACTTCGCCATGGTGGATCCAGGGTGTAATCTCTGCTACCATAACTGTGGTGGAGGCAGATAAAATAACAACAAAAGGGCCCCTCCAATGGGGTTTTAGCAGTTGGACATTTCATTCCTTTACCCCGATGGTATCCCCTGGCCTGTAAGAATGTGTGGGAATTGTCAGGCTAATGGGAAGTCTCTCACAGATCCAGTCATTGATTTTCAAGAGAGTCAACCTGAGGGCCTGCATCTGTTGCCTCAAGGTGAGGTCACCTATTTCTTTGAGGTCTCCTCGTATACCATTGATTAAGGGGGTAGGGTGTCCATAAGAACTTCAAAGGGTGAAAGTCCTGTCCACTTCGTGGGACTAGACATAATCCTCAGTAATGCTATGGGTAGTAATTGATCCCATTGCAAATGGTTCTCCTGACCTAGTTTCCCAACTGTACTTTCAGGGTCCTAGTCAAACGTTATACTTTTCCTGAACTGTGGGGGTATAGGCCATATGCAGATTCCATGTGATTCCTAAGTCCTTAGCCATCATCTGTACCATTTCGGCCACAAAGTCTGGCCCATTATCCAACCCAATGGACACAGGTATTTCAAGCCAAGGGATGATTTCCTTTAGTAGACACCTGGCCACCTCCCAGGCTTTTTCAGTCTGCATGGGGAGAAGGTGCAGACAAATGCTAATAGGTATTTGCATCCTCAGGCAAATGGCATTTGTGTGAAGTCCACCATCAGGTTTTAAAGGGGAGTTCTGCCAACACTTTGCACATGGGGTGGTGCTCTTGGTCCCTGCTGGGATTGTTTTAGGCACATAGGCTACATCTTTCTCATATCACCTTACTGATGCTGGAGATGCTTGAAAAAGTGCTGGTCCAGGACAGTCTTGAGGGCTGTTCATTCTGAATGTGATCCTTCATGGAACTGCTTAACAAATGAGGGAGCCAATGACTCAGGAATGGCAATGCAGCCATCCATAAACTTCTACCATCCATGCAGTACAAAATTTCCTTCCTCAGTCTTAAACCAGGCCTGTTCTTGTGGTGTGTACTTTGGGTCTTATTCAGCTAAGGGACATGGGAACAAGGCAGTGGCCAGAGAAGTTGGGGCTGATCCTCTCATGAGGGCTGCTTGTTTGGCTTCCTGGTTTCTCCAAGCAATTGTTGTATCTCCCTTTTGGTGCCCTCAGCAGTGTATAACTGCCACACATTTAAGGGGCCCACACAGCATCTAGTAGTTTGAGGAATTCTTGCCCTTCTCTTTATATAATGCCCCATGGACATGAATGGTTGTAAAGGCATATTTATAGTCAGTGTAAATGTTTACCCGTACTACTGCAGCAAGCTGGAGTACCTACATGAGGGGGACAAGTTCAGCCTTTTGTGCAGAAGTTCCAAAAATCAGTGGGCAGGCCTCAGTGACTGAGTCCAGAGTTACTATCGCATACCCAGCAAAGTGCATGCCATCCCAGATAAAGATACTGCCATATGTGAAGTATTCAGATGTGAAATATTCAGATGTCCGGATGGCTGGTAGGCTGGTCACTTCAATGTGTCTGGCTCAAGAAAACCTCATCCATAACCTCTAAGCAGTCATGCTCCAGGGAGCCCAAGTCAACCAGCAATAGGGTGGCCATGCTTAGAGTCTTAGCAACCTCTAGGCAGATGTGTGGGTTTTCACATAGCATAATCTGGTATTTGACCATCCAAGAGTTGGTCAGCCAATAATTTCCTTATACTCCATGAGAGTTAGGATGGAGTGGGGAGCTCAGACAGAGTTCTTGTCCCAGGGTGAGCTTGTCTGCCTCCACCACTAGGGCAGCAGTGGCTGCTAAGGTACGCAAGTGAGGGGGCCAGCCTTGGGCAGCAGCATTGAACTGTTTGGACAATTGAGCCGCTGGACGATGCCAGGAGCCTAGTAGCTGAGTCAAGACCCCAACAGCTGTCCCCTTTCTCTCATGGACATACAGGGAAAAGGGCTTCATCACATCTGGCAGGCCTAGAGCAGGAGCATTTGTGAGCACCCTTGATTCCTCTAAAGACTTTTTCCTGTTCCTGTCCCTTTATTAAGGGTTCCCATTCTCCCTCACTTTGTGGCTTTGTGGAGGGGTTTTGGCCAAGAGGGAGTAGTTAGGGATCCAGATTTGGCAGAAACCTGCAGCTCCCAGAAACTCCCTGACTTGCCAGCAGTTCTTGGGGGCTGGAATAGAACAAACAGCTTGTTTCCTCTCAGGGCCAAACCTGCACTGTCCCTGCCACAGATGAAAGCCAAGGTATTTGACAGTGTTTTGGAAAATCTGAGCCTTTTTCCAAGAGACTTTGTATCCTGCCTCTCATAAAAGAGAAAGAAGGAAGTGGGTCCCTTCCATACATTCCAGGTTAGTCCATCCAGCAGGAGGTCATCTACATACTGGAGGAGGGTGCAGCTGTGCTGGTTGGCTGAGAAAGCTTTGAGGTCAGATGCCAGGGCAGGGGCTGGTGGAGTGGGTCAAGTGGCAGAGCACCTGCCTAGCAAGTGTGAGGCCCTGAATTCAAACCCCAGTGCTGCCAAAAAAATAAAATAAAAGCATGGATGCCAAGGCAATTCCAAAAACAGTGGACCAATTTCTGAAGTCCAGGTTAGTGGCCTCTTTTCTCCAGTGTTGGGATTTTTCCCATTCGAAGGCAAAAATAGGCTGGCTCTGTGGGGCCGGGTGGATGCAGAAAAATGTATCATTAAGATAGAGGCAGGTAAAAAACTTTGCCTCAGTTGGGGCAAGCCCTAAAAGCATGTAAAGATTAAGTACTACAGGGTGTAAAGTGACAGTTGCTGAATTTACTGCCCAGAGGTCCTG